CAAGGATGAGTCGAGCATCGTGAATGAAAGGAAGGAAACAGAGGGAAAGGGATGATCAGAGCGTATTTAGGGAAGCTGTCCCAGGGAGACTTCTATATTTATTTTGCTCTATGTTGGTCAACCTTCCTCTGAAAGCCTTAGCCTTGGCACTCAGCCCCACATCTGTCCAGCATCGTAGGTAGCAGGTGAGTTTCATCGGATCCTCTGTCTCTCTTCGATTAGAAATCCCCTGTGGAAGAGAACATGCCCTATTTCTCTATGGGTTTCCATTCATTCTTCACTTCCACCCACACAGACTGTGACACCATTTGAAGATCTGCTCATTCCAGGGCTTCAGAAGATATTTTGGCACAAAAAGAAGCAGGGCCTTTATTCCTCCCAGTGGGCCATTGCCACCACAACTGCAGCTGCAGTGAGATGCAGGAGCTGGTGAGGAAGGATGGAAGGACGGGTACCCACTCTGACTCACAATGCCTTGGCTCAAAGGCAAATCAGATCGGAGGGGAAAAGGTGGAAATGTGTTCCACGTCTGTGTGACCAAAAGTTAATAACATAGAAGAGAGAAACAAACCACGTCACCCACGATTGCATCAGTATCAAACTGTGCAAAACAGAATGTTTCTCACAGAACAAGGATCTTGCTCCCTAACACTTCTTGGAATAAATATCTCCTCAGCTCTCCTTTGCCTTTTTAAAAAAAAATAAAAAACTTATTTGGTCTCTAACAGTGTTAGTGAGAAAAAGTGTACTTAACATCAGTACCAATAATATTCATTAATTAGTGGGATTAAATGAGTATTGCAAAGACCTAAAGCAGATTTTGGATTATCTACTACAGTTCATGTCATGAAGTAAAAATTGCATTTTAATATCATTTATCAGATTAACATACAGCATATTTGTTGAACAATAATATAAAGCATCAAAAATGAATAAGCTTCATTTGTATTTTAATCAATGATAACAGGTAAAAAAAAATATTGCATCTCATTCCTAAGACAGAAAACTAACTTTTCCATATTATCATCTGCTAATCCCTTGGTGGGTGCAACTCTGTCTCCATGACATTCTAATACTTTTTCTATTGCCCTGTAAGGCAACTTTATCTTTTTTCCATATTTTCTACAATGGAATTTTGCATTGAAAGTGTTATGTATAATATTGTTAAGACAAACTTTTAAACATCTCAGAACATACTATGGTATTTATACCTCGTATATACTAAATTGTACTCTCCTACCCTGTTCTCAAATCCATGACCCCTTCTTCTGTAATTATTATTGTTTATCTCTCTCCCAAATTCCTTTAGTGTTGCTTGTATGTATATGGGTTTAGGACTGATCACTTGAGACTGAATAATTTATTATGGGTTCAGAAAACTAACCCTCTCTCTATCAATAGCCCACAGATTAAGTTTCCCTGACTTTCTTTTTATGCTTCTAAAACGCGTGCTAGTGTGCAGTTTCCATGCCAAGGTGACATCATAGAAATAGTGAAATAACAGATGTCAGGTAGGCCTGAATACAGTACAGTGTGACCTCTCAAAGCCACTGACCACTGTTAACTTTACAAATGGAAAATTGAGAATAACACATCGTAGGGGCATAAGAATCATATGAAATAGCATGTAAAAATTTGGAATGCTTAGACTGCTCACGCATTGATCACATTCCACTCTGGACATAGTTTTATAAGTGCTTCCATATATACCTCTGGTGTTCTGCCCCACCCAAGGATTATTTTCTAATTAACCCATCTGTATTTTCTAATTAGACATTCCTGTCTATTACATATCAGAATTTTAATTTTCTCCATAACAATTAAAAAACTTGGTGTCAATGTTTAGAACTGCAGTGCCACTGAGTGAATGCTGTTGGTGATACACTGGGTGTGCACCTGTGTGTTTATAGGTGCGTGTATTTGCAATGTTCATGTTCCTGTGTATGTACGTGTGTATATGTGCACATGCCTGCATATGCATCTCAGTGTGTGTGCATATGCCTCTGAGTATGCATGTGTGTGTGTGTGTGTGTGTGTGTGTGTGGCGCGCGCAAATGTGCGCATGCGAGCACACGCCATTGTGATGGAAACTTGAGTCTTTCACATGCTAAGAAGGCACTCTAGCATTGATGTTCCTCTGTTTCCCTCTACGCCCCTCTCACACACATTTTGTGATGATTGGTTTTAGAAAAATGTTTAGAACTATAAATCCCACATTTTTTTTTCTGTTTTGAACACCACTTACTGGTTACAAGCTTTAATATTGACATCTCCCCTCAAAGATATAGTCCTTGTCCATATGGAATGTGCATACTTTTGTATTCATCAAGGACTCAACTTGATATCTAAATACCAGGCTTGTTCTTACAGGTCATTGGTGTTTGCACATGGTTTCAGCTAATGGGGGTATCTTTAAATAAAGGATAATTATTCATTTGTAACAGAGTCTGCACAGAAAACCACTGATGTGAATCTCAAGTAATTTTACTCTTTGATCCTTCGATCAATGTGTTTCAAAAAACAGCAGCCACCCCAGGACTTGCTCTGAAGAGTAATTACGCTCACAACATGCTGACTGTCCTTGTGATGATTTTCTTGATAACACTATTGTTGACAATTTGCTATCATTGACAATGAGAATTTATTACTTTTATTACTTTATTCATCCCACATCTTCCCCCTCATACATAGCTTAGACGTGCATTGACACCTTCTTCTCTGTTAACTATTATGAAAGGTTAAGAGAGGTGATCAATTTACATCTGCTTTGCAGATTTCAATATTAATAGCACATGTTTCCTCCGTAGCCTTTATAGACTATCATTCAGGGAAATAATATATCTTTAATCCTTGCTACAACCTAAAAGAAAAAAATGGTTTGAAAAAAAGGGAAGATACATTTTATTGAATTTTAGCAGCAAACCCAGAGCTACATAGCTAAAGGATGGAGTGGGATAGACTCGCAAACCAGTTTTAATTTGCATTTCTCTGATGGCTAAAGATGTTCAATATTTTCTTCCCAAATACTTACTGGCCATTTGTATTTCTTCCTTGTGAGCTATTGATTAGAAAATTTAGGGGCTTGAGTGTTCAAATTATATGTGTGTGTGTGTGTGTGTGTGTGTCTGTGTGTATGTATGTGTGTCTGTCTGTGTGTGTTTGTGTGTGTCTGTGTGTGTGTCTGTGTGTGTATGTGTGTGTTAGCTACTATTCTGTCTGATGCATAGTTGTTGGCCTCAAGTTCTAAAACCCAGTTCAAGCCAGTGCCTCTCCCTGACTCCATCCTTCCAATCTTGTACAGACTATATAAAGTATTCAAACTTTATGAAGAAAACATAGAACAATGTATGTTCCTCTCTGCTATGTATACAAAGAAACTAGGTGAAGACAAGTTTTGTCCTCATGCTTCCAAAATACCTTTTAGGACCTTATTATAAACTAAAGTGTAGCATACCACGTCACACATTTACCATATGAACGTGAGTGCTTTGAAGTCCATCCCCATTGTAAGCATCTTCTTCCTCTGTGATCTAATCTTATTGCTTTAATGACCCCAGAAATTTGGAGAAAAGAAGTGAGGAGAGGCTGGTGGAAGCAAGCTACTATCTCTCATATAAGGGGAACAACCCTCACATAATGTGTGCATCCTGTTGGAAGAAAGGATGTCCCTGCTTCAAATTACTTGTACTTGCTTCTAATTGGCATGTTTCCTGTTGTCACACTAGTACTGTCACAGATTAGTAGGGTATCTCTGAAAATTCCTGAGTTGCAATAGTCACTATAGCTCACATCCCATAGAGCTTTCAGTGTTCAATGTGGATAAGAATCCCAGGTTCAGTAAACTATCTGTCTTGACAGGCAACCTGTACATATTTGCTCCTCAGAGTCTCTCATTAAGTACAACCCTTCAAAGGAAAAGGGAGGTAGATGGAGATTATCTTAAAACAAAACAAAAAGCCTGTGGTAAAGTGCTGAGTTTAGTTATAAATTATTTATTCACTGTCCTAGCAATAAGTTTCTTAAACTCTTATTATTATCTCAGCTTTCTTCTTTCTGCAAGGGAGATGATATAATATATTGCATAAACTTTCTATCACCCTTAATACTCACTGAGGAAATGTGCATCTGAGAGACCTAAGGCTGCATATTCTTTTATGGTTTTTATTGAAAAATAATTCATGCCATTTGTAAAGAAGAAAAGGAAAGAAAAGAATAGTAGCCTGCCTATTCACTGACTTAAAAGTGATTCTCGATCACTTTCTGGAACTTTCTGGGCCATAGCTTCCTCTTCAGCAAAATAAAAGGTTTGTCAAAGAAGAGTAAAACAATAGATTTAATAGTGGCATGAAACAAAAAAAAACATTTGGGATATTGTTTTCATATAATCATATCTGTCATATCAATAGTAAATGATGGTTCTTTTATAAGGTATGGAATTTTATAAATTCTACTGTCAAGTAAATATGGACTTCAATTGTAAAGTAAAATTGAGGAAACCAAATTTACTTTGATTGGATGCATTGGTTAGTATATTGTCTTTTTTATCATTACCTTCATTAATAAGGAAAAGGCTCAAGCTGCCATAAAGGTGTTATTGACTATAAAAGTCACACATTCAATTTTGTGTTCTGTTTTAATATTTCATTTCTCCCTGGTTTAATTTTTCAAATCTAGAAGTTTATGGTTGTTTTGAAAAAGTTTTAGCTATATATTTGGTTTAGTCATTTCAACTCATAAAGATCTAGTGATATAAACAAGTAGACAGATAAAGAGACACTTGTGTCTGTATATGGAGATACTAATTCTGTTATTGAATCATGAATTCATCATCAGCCATTAAGAACCATTTCAATCTTTTATCTATAATCTTTGTCTCTTCGGTGGTCAGACAGGATACAGTATATATTCAGGACTGGGAAGTTTCTCAAAAGGAAGAAATCCGATATGTTTTGAAACAATATTTATACTACATTCATTAACTTCATTTTATTTCCCTGCAGGTTTAAATGTTTCTTTGGCCGCTTGACTACTGAACACAAAATGAATAACTCAACTAACTCCTCGAACAATGGCTTGGCTATTACCAGTCCTTACAAGACATTTGAAGTGGTATTTATTGTCCTTGTGGCTGGATCCCTCAGTCTGGTGACTATCATTGGGAACATTCTGGTCATGGTTTCCATTAAAGTCAACCGCCACCTTCAGACTGTCAACAATTACTTCTTGTTCAGCCTGGCCTGTGCTGACCTCATCATAGGTGTTTTCTCCATGAACTTGTATACCCTCTACACTGTGATCGGCTACTGGCCTTTGGGACCTGTAGTATGTGACCTTTGGCTAGCTTTGGACTATGTTGTCAGCAATGCCTCCGTTATGAATCTCCTCATCATCAGCTTTGATAGATACTTCTGTGTCACAAAACCTCTGACCTACCCAGTTAAGCGGACCACAAAAATGGCAGGCATGATGATTGCGGCTGCATGGGTCCTTTCCTTCATCCTCTGGGCCCCAGCCATTCTCTTCTGGCAGTTTATCGTCGGGGTGAGGACTGTGAAGGATGGAGACTGCTACATTCAGTTCTTTTCCAATGCTGCCGTCACCTTTGGCACTGCCATTGCAGCTTTCTATCTGCCTGTCATCATCATGACTGTGCTCTATTGGCACATATCCCGGGCGAGCAAGAGTAGAATAAAGAAGGAAAAGAAGGAACCCGTGGCCAATCAAGACCCGGTGTCTCCGAGTCTGGTGCAAGGAAGAATTGTAAAGCCAAACAACAACAACATGCCTGGTGGTGATGGTGGCCTGGAGCACAACAAGATCCAGAATGGCAAGGCTCCGCGGGATGGCGTGACTGAAAACTGCGTTCAGGGGGAGGAGAAAGAAAGCTCTAATGATTCCACGTCAGTTAGTGCTGTGGCCTCCAATATGAGAGATGATGAGATAACCCAGGATGAAAACACAGTTTCCACTTCCTTGGGCCACTCCAAAGATGACAACTCTAAGCAAACATGCATTAAAATTGTCACCAAGACTCAAAAGGGAGATGCATGCATCCCAACGAGTACCACTGTAGAACTAGTTGGGTCGTCAGGTCAGAATGGGGATGAAAAGCAGAACATTGTAGCCCGCAAAATTGTGAAGATGACCAAGCAGCCTGCCAAAAAGAAGCCTCCTCCATCCCGGGAAAAGAAAGTGACCAAGACAATCTTGGCGATCCTGTTGGCTTTCATCATCACGTGGGCTCCATACAATGTCATGGTGCTCATCAATACCTTCTGTACACCCTGCATCCCCAATACAGTGTGGACAATTGGCTACTGGCTCTGTTACATCAATAGCACCATCAATCCTGCCTGCTATGCACTTTGCAATGCCACCTTCAAAAAGACTTTTAAACACCTCCTTATGTGTCATTACAAGAACATAGGCGCTACAAGGTAAAAGACCTTTACAAAAGAAGAAATGCAGTCAAGTATGTCTTAGGGATGGACAGGGACAAGAAAGCTGTGTTTATAGTGATCTGCCCTTGCACTTTACAATCTTACTACAACGTGCAATTAAGGAGTTTTAGAGACACTCTCATGTGCCCATGCTCCAGCTTGAAAAAATAAATAATAGCCTTCACCTTATAAACCCTGTCAGTTAAGAGACACGCTGAAATTGCAGATCTAAGCAGCAATCTCTACTGTCTCCTGCTTTCTTGAAGAAGGGCTTCAGAATCTACAATTTGATGTCTCTACACAAGAAGAATAAATGTATTAGTTTATTGTTTCTTTCTGTTGTTACCCCCATCCCCAGCCCATGAGGTGATGAGAAAGAAATGGCACATCACATGCTAACACAGAGACCTAAACATAAAGAAGCAGGCACTATACAAAGAGAGATAAGAAGAAAGAAAGAAAATCAAACAGGATGCGGAGGTGGTCTGCAGAGCACTGAACATATTCTCGGTTATGCTATGCTCTGATATGAAGGATTTTAACAGAATCACTGCTTATTTCTTCTCTCTTCCTCTTTCCCATCACAGAAAGCAAGAAAGCAAAACAACAAAAGCCCAACTAGGCCATACTATTTTTTTCTACTATTTTTGTAGTTCCTGGTTTTATATTGTATATGGATAGTATCTGCAGGACTTCTAAATCTGGCCAGAGTCACACATGAAAATGGACACTGCCGCTCCCCACTGTGTCATTGCATTCTTTGATGGTGTACAAACCTGTAAGGATTCCATTCACCTGAGTTCCTTCGTGTGGAAAATTTTTACCCATCTGATTTTCTTCTCAACTAGCCCATTTTAACAATGTAGTCTGCCTAAGACAGAAATACACTTGAAAAACCAAAGTCATTTAAACTTACTTTTTTAATCACATTAGAAAATGGTCAGTCTAGTTGGAGAAAGTTCACTGAGGCCAGATAAAGTTTGAGATGAGAAGACAGAAGGCCAGAAGGGCGATCTGGTTGAACGTGAACCTGCCTGACCCATGTGCACAATGTTAATGTGTACAACACAAACTCTTGACTTTGTCAGCAGGAATATGATGTTGGTGTGCTCATTTGGATCTCAATTATTTTACTGTGTCAACCCCAAGAGGAAAAGATCTTATATTCAATGTCTGTTAGTAGATGGTACTCAAATGAAGGTTTCTATAATCAGACTAAGACATGGGGTGGGGAAATGGGTCATACAAAATATTTACTAATACTACCTGTTCCGTGTTCTTCCAGTTGTCTTCAAATCTCTGTAAGATAATGTTGCTTCAAAATTCACTCATCAAACAGGATGAGTTATATTAATCTTTGTGGCTTAAATATAGTGGAAAACCAAACAGAGGCAAGATATGCCCACAGACTCTGATGGAAGAGTACATGTGGTTCTCGCCATGCTATTTCCCACAGTCTAATCTATCCACAAATAGCTGATACAGAAATGATTATTAAAGGGTAACACTAAACATATAACGTCTGTGTGGGAAATCCATACTTGACACTCTAAAATAAATGCAGAATTATACCAAATCTACATTAACTAGTTATTTTTGTCTTCATATAATTTCTTCCATTAAATGTTATGGTATTCCAATCAGATTTTCTAAGTGGAGGCCTGATGGATAGAGATTGAAGTTATAAATTCATTCATAAACTTCAGATTCCCACTGATGTGCTTTGATTCCTTCTCTGCCATTCCACGAGTACTCACAAGGCAGGTTCATCAGTGTGATGTCCCAAGAGTTACTAGAGTTATTTCATCTGACTTTGCGTATCAGTAACATCTCAGCAAGTGGGTGATAAAGGATGGGAGAGTAACAACAGCAACACTGTCAGCTAATAAGAAGCAAGTTGCTAACAGTATATGTATTTGCCCTTTATGAACAGAACTTACTGTTTGAGTAATTTCAGTTGGTTTTAACTTCAAAATCTCCTATCTGTAAAACATAGATTTGGTTCAAACAGATTGATTTAATCTATAATTAATTGGTGTAGTTCCCTTACTTCACAATTATTAAAATGTAAATTCTGGATTTTAAGATTACATTTATTTTTATGTTGTTTCTTCAACTAATTGAGTAGAGAAGACTTCACGCCAATGGATTTCTTGGTTTCCTGTAAGAAACGTTATCCATCTGTGTTGTATACTACTGTGGTGCAAACATGGCTTCCATTGGGGCCACCATTTTGGAGGCCAGTATTCAATGTCTATCTCTGTTTGCTTTAAGCCCAATCCACCATGAGCCAATCTTTGTCTTGTTCTATGTTTTATTGTATTCTTTCCTTGATTCATTCTGTGCCTAGTAATTTATCACAGCTGGCACAACTTCATTAAAAGAGAAACTATCAAGTTCAAGAAGAAAATGAAGGCAATCTAACGTACCACAGAAATGTTCTCAAAAGAATCAGAAAGAAGGAAGGACATTGGCATGTTTGGAGGGAGAATGTCTTCAAAGATCTTTCTTTACTGTTGCTGGCTTTGCTTTTTTTTTTTTAATGACTCTCAGGCAGAGGCAATTTTTACCCTATGGGCACTTAGTAATATATAGGGCCATTTTGATTATCACAACTGGGAATAGGCATTTGTATCTAGTAGGAAGGAGCTTTGAATACACAAAGTATGCCCCACCTGCAAAATGATTTGGCTCAAAATGGCAATGATACCAGGACTGAGGAAGACAAGTTTATATTAAGGGATTTCTGAAGCTTCCCTTCTTAATTCTCCATCATTTAAGCAAACAAACAAAAAAGATTAATGCAATTTGCTTTCTTGTGAGCAAAGCTCACTCATCGGCTACTATAAATTCTCGCACTAATTAGGATTTGAAGAGCACAGACCACACCTACATAGTGAAACCAGCAGCTTTCATACACCTAGAGCACTGTGGCATCTTAATGCCTGGTTATAAAACCGAGAGGCTGTGGCTTTGTCCATGAACATCGCTGCTTCTAGTCTGATCAGTTTCTACTGGAAACATCATTTCTTTTCCTTTCAAACTAATGAAGAACCCTTTAAAGAAACAGTATGACTCATCTCCTTTGCTTTCAATAAAACTGTCAGAGGCTGTCAAACCTTTATTATTTTTTTTCTTCTCATAGCAATAATGTAAATATCCCAGAGTGGTATTATGAAAAGAGAAGATTAAGAATATAAATAGAGGAGCCAGCTCACTTCTACAGTAAAGAAATGATTGCCTCTTGACCAAGTCATGATTATCTTAATGACATATCCCAAGTATTGTGACAAGGTCACCAATACAGTGAGCTACAAAGGATAAACCATTTGGCTTGATACGTGGAATCTTGAATCCCACATCCGTCTGCTTTTTGCCTACTCAATGCTGTTTGATCCTGAAGAGATGATGGTATGAGGGAAGATTAAATTTCAGAATGATACCAACCGTTATTGACCAATGCAGCCAACTTTTATTTTCTTGTATTTAGTTCATCAACAGTTGCTCCCTTTTTCAAGTTGATAATATCTTCGTCAACAACCATAGCACTGGTGTTGCAAATAGATTAGAAAGGCAACCATGGCTGGGTAAACTTGTGAGACATGTATTCTCAGCATGTATATACAATGCCATGCCTCTCCAATAGGCTTCTCTTAAAAGGGTGCACGCTGTAGCATGAACTCTGTGTATATTTAATATACCTTCCCATGATATGCTGTATGCTTCATATATATATATATTATATAAATAAAATGTATAATAGAAATACATATTTCTGTATGCAAATAAATATATTATACACAAAATTGTAACAGACACTCTGGCATATATATTGTTTCTTAGGAATAAGAGTAAATTTAATATCCTCCATTTTAAAAGAAAATCACATTTCGCATCAGAGGAAGAGATTTAAGAACAGTAAAACTCCTATTCACATTAATATTCAACTGACTTATCATCTTTGAGTGTCTGGCACTGATTTTAGAGATCTCTTAGAGGAATAAATTAATAAATCTTGCTGGTATCAGCCCATGTGACAGCCATGATTTCTTTTCCTGTGCCTGACAGGCCTTCTCAGAGATCCTTCCCAGCTGGTGTGGGCCCCGCAGCTGTGTTGATCTCCTGTCTGATTACCTGATGAGCCTGCAACCAACCCATTCTCACAGACTTGCACTCTCTTCCAAATCAACTGATTTTATTGAAATGAAAAATAATCACACTGGGAGAAAAGGACGACCTTCAGAATGTTTTCTTTTCCTTTGACAAACAAGGTAAAAAGGGTTCAGGCAGTGCACTTCATAAACGACGTTTTCTGCACGGGTTCAACAATACAGCACCCCCTCCATGGTATGCCAGAAAACTTCAGTGAACTACATACAAAATTGCAACTTTCTCAATGAAATTACAAAATAGATGGTTTGTTTCTGATGTCTAAATTTTCTCCACAAGCAATCTCTTTCTTTGTTTATTGACCATTTGACTAGCTATGATCCTCAGAACATTCCTATAGCCCATAGCTTAAGTTTATTATTATAATTGGATACTGGCTGGACAATCTCAAGAAATACATGTGAATGTGTAATACACACACACAGACACACACAGACACACACATACACACACATATCAAACATTAAGGTTACAGTATATTACAGTATAGGCACCTAGCCATGTATTGGTAGAGATTATTTCAATTAATTTTAGTTTGATTAGTCTCTCAGGACGTCCTTTGATGTGTGTCCACTAGCTCAACTTTACCCAGTAGGACACAATTAAATCACATGAACTGCTGTTCTCTACACCAAAGTCAATTATAGAATAGCTAAGGGAAGAAAAATTCACTTCTCATTGGCACCATCTTGTTCCAGCAAAATACGTTCACTTCATATTCAAGAATTTAATTTATTTTTTATATAAATCAGGTGTTAGATGGCGAACCTGGCTTGAAGGTTGCAGACAGGGACAGGAACAGCATCTTGTCATCATTAAGGAAGAATTTTTTCCCATCCTCACAGAAATCCAGTTATTTTACAGAAACAGTGTGGCAATTGGTGGTAATTATAATTTAGTTAGTTCCTTAGGTGTGATTATTTGATTCTGTTTTGGTTTCAGACAGTGTCTCCAGCAGTCCATGTTGGCCTTGAACCTGTGATCTCCTGCTT